GCTTCATTATTCCGAAAACAATAGTACTGACATTGAGCAAATTTAGGAAAATAAAAACTATTCAGTACAATGTGGGCTAAAATTAATGTGAATTAAGTTCATACATCTTTTTCGTCGAAAGAAATGTGTATTTAACATTTATTTGAATTTACTTATTAAATACAGTTGTAAAAATAAGACTCATCAACTAGATTGTGATAAACAAAGATGTACTGAACTGATTCATTTTGAAGGTCAGTAAAATTACTTTATTTATTTACAAGAAAAAACAATGTAACGAACAGATTAGCATGAAATTGGAAAAATTTTAAAAATATCCTATTGCTTGACATTTTAAACACTTATCCATTTATTGTGAAATTCTATGTGTATTTAGGATTATTTCTGTGGAGCATAATATGCTACTCTGCGGTTCACAGAACTTTACAATGCATGTTATAGACTACAAAACCTATGTATAACTACATATATGCTCTGAAATTTTGCAAATCCATTAACATTAAATCGAATGTTACTTATTTGATAACATTTAACATACTTTGTTACCTAATTATGAATACATCAAATTTTAGGGATTAACTATGTTGTGTTTTGATTTTTCTTTTCCACATATTTTTTTTTTGTAAATTGGAAATTTCCGTTAATAAATTAAACAATTAAACAAAAAATTTGGAAGTTATAGGGGCCAATTTTGAATCAAACATGTTAAAATTGAAAGGTTATTAAAAAATAAACAGCCAATCAGATTTACGAATTTAACTCGTTACTATGGAAATTTGCAATTTAACACCCTTTAAATTTAACAGGTTTGATTCAGAATTGCCCCTATAGTATCCAAATGTTTGATCTTTAATTGTTAAGTATCTAATATTTGTAAATTAATTATTACACAAATTATCACATATTTTTATACAAAAATTATATATTTTACTTCCTGAGCGTAAGCTAAGTAATAGTAATCGAGTCCATCGGACGAATGTCCACTTTTATGTTTTCTCGACGTTCCATGACCCCTAGAATACGCAAAAAGTAATTTCACGTTTCCGTCTGTCTGTCTGGCGTCTGTGTCGATTTTTATTACATGACAAAACACTAAGCAATATTTGGTTAATCATTTCCACCAACAATTAGATGGCGCCATTTCAGAAAATTCTATTTTAAAATGTTTTAAATGTTGTACAATAATATACTCCTACACTTATGGTGTACGAATCGGTTTTGAGTTTTTTTCTCTAAACGCCCAAATGTTCACAAACAATATTTTTTTTACCACTAACTCAGGATATAACAGTCCGTGGTCATGAGGTTAAGGCGTCAGCGGATAGGTGGTCGCACGTTCGATGCCAAACTTGACCTTTTCTTTTTTTTCATTTTCTCTCGCGCTGTGTATTATCTATGTTCATGACGTAATAACAAATTTTTAATGGTCAAATTAAAAACGAGTTATCCCATTTTCTCCAAAAAGTGAGAATACGCACGTCTTTATTTAATAAGAATTATAAAAATAATATTCATTCTGTTCCATTGTGGTTTCATTAATAATTTTAGTACTTTGTTTTGAGGCGACAAACTCATTCAAATTAGACAAATTTTTACGTGACATGCTTCGGATGTATAAACAAACATTTGAAGTTAAAACTTGTTATTATTACTGAGAAACCATTTTTTCCCGTTGGTTATTTGCTTTAAATATATATTTCATTGTCCGTACTTGTGCAATACGCACAATCCCTTGAAATTTGCGCCCCCGCAACACAAAATCTAGTTTTATAATTTTTCAAAAAGTAGGATTTGTTGGACTTTAGGAGCGAGGGAAGTTCTGTCGAAATAGTAGACTTCGACCAGTTTTTTTTTAAACATGTTATTGACTCTTTGTAAAATAATTTTTCCTTATTGTCTTTAATAAAATTATTATTATTATTGGCCATTGTTCTTATACACAATGAAAAAATTCGAAATTTTGTGTGAATTTGTGGTTTTTTTAATAGTATAATAACTCTTCATTTCCAGAGACAATGTAGTACCGAATTATAGAAATCGTTCAAGACGAAATTTAATGATAGATTAAAAAAAATGTATGAACAACATCATAAAATAAAAAATTATCATACTTACATGACATTAGAATTTAAAGTTTAAAATAAATCCTAGAGTGACTTTTGTTGATTATATTAAACAAAATAAATTTAAATAAAGTAAAATTAAAATTTTAGATGATCTTAAAAATGTTATTAAGGTTCCTAATGAATGTCATTCAATTAAAAGTCACTGGAGACGGCAGTCATATCAAAACACCTTTTAATGCTTTCATGCATTTTGGTCCGAGGTCACTTATTTGCACTCTCACTTCGTCCTTTATATTCATTCGTCCATGGGATAATTCGGATAGTGATATGCTGATGTGCAAAGACCTTTTATTTCTTCCTTTGTGTACAACATATTTTCTTCACTAGTTTAACACTGACAAATGTATGAATTGTGCCATGTACAACATATTCAGTAAACTCACATGACATACACCTTGTAAAACATTGTAAGCTTTATGAACCCGAACCGCAAGGATTATTGCCATAATGGAGTTGTGAACTGAGTTAAGTTACACAATAGCCAGTTTGACTTATAAGGGTGCTTGGGCTTAGCCGCATGAGTCATAAAAGTATTACTAGGTGTATGTCAAGTGAGTTTAGTATGAAAAAGTTTACAAATTTTTCGAGTACGGCACCGATTCCTCGCAAGTAAAGAGACATGTATCCAACTGTTTATTGCAGTGGGCGGTTATCCCGCTGGTAAAAGCCCTTAATACGATTAGAGATTAGTGAAGTCACCTCCAACCATCAGCAGCCAGGCTATAACTTGTTCGAGAAAGCGTGCAGAAATACAGGAAAGTTTGATTTACGTGAATGCGGTAAACAGGCTTAACGAACCTGTTATGTGTAGTAAACTCGTTCAAGTTGTACCCTAGTAGGATGCAAAACCCTCGTAAAATTTTATGGCGAGTATCGGTACGTTAACAATTGAAGACGGTTTTACTACAGCCGAAAAAGGCTAAAATTTTCTGGCCGTGACTGTGGGTTTGATTAATATACTTTTGCAACCAAAATAAACGTTGCATTACCGATCCTATAAGATTTATGCTATGTGAATTCGAACATTTTATGTAAAAGTGAAATTTCTTTCAACTGTTTTTGTTCTCTTACAAAGGACTTTAGTATCTTATTATATTAGCATTTTTTTCATCTTTTCCTTGTGCAAGTGCATGCTTTTGATCATTTCGTACGATGCGCGATGTGGTGGTCTTCTATAATCCCGTTCGGATTACAATAAAATAGAATACTGTACATTAAGACCCTCTAAAATGTGTATATTGCCTGTACATTATTATAACTTTTTTTTTTTTGATAAAGTATTAGTCATTGGAGCCAATCATTTTAAGTAGGTACATGATAGTGAACATTACACATTCTCAATTTCTTCAGCGAAAATGACTTGTTTTTCCAACGTTATTTAGGCAAAATTTTCCTCAATCCTGAAGCAATTATAAAGCATATGTTTTAATAAATATTTACTGAATAATTTTTTGAAATTTATCAGTTTCTGGAGAGGATAAATCAATACAATTTTACAAATTTTATTTTCTATAATAATGAGCCTCATAGGGGAAAAATAAAAATAGAGTGAATTCATTAGCAACACATACAGAAGTACTAAACTCTTACCAGTATAAAATTCATGAACGGAGAAATCAAGAATGAATGGGATTTTAAACATACTTGCAATGATAAGAATTATCTGTAAGTAAAATTCCATATAATCGGAGGCTTTTATATATTTCACAATGTTCGCAACCCAAACTTTAAAACTGGTCTATTACATAATTGAAATTTTGAACTGAACCTTGAAATTTGTAAAAAGCTGACTCTAAACGGGTTATATCGGACCGTGCTATTTATAAGCTACAAGCAGAATCAGAACTTGTCTATCTAAGTGTCAATCAATATCGATCATACAAATTTATACCATCTTAAAATAAGAAATCAGTGGCAAATTTCAAAAACCAGAACAATCTCTAATTCTAAGCGTGAAATCAACAAGTAGTTATATTTTACATCACAGAAATTACGACGAATGTCAGGAATATATTACATATTAGTTTTTAAATTACGAAACTTATTGTACAAGTAACTCCCAGATTGTTTAACATACTCGTCTACTTCAAATTCAAATATTACTATTGATTATTCTTGATTACTAACTGAAACCGCACTGTAAACTAATTTACCTACAATTCGTCTCTTAAGTATAAATTTGAATTTCTCCTACTTTATTAATGTCGTAGGTATTTTTTTTTTAATTTTATGTAAATCTGAGGATTTCAGCAATGTACCTATCACATCACTGAAGTAATTTTTTTTTACTGCGATATAATAGTTGTATCCCTAGTTTTAACTGCCTTGATACACGAACTAGCTGAGAAGAATACTAAAAAGGGTTCGTTCACATCACGTCAAAGTTCACAAAATTATTTGTTTACCAAAACTTTCCTTTTTATGAAATATGATGAAAAGGTACGTAGTAAATTTGCATATAACTTTTTTGATTATTATCCACCCTTTTCGTTGTCCTCACAGCTCAGTTAAATGATAAAAGACAATACACAATAACATCGACTATGAGCAACACACAAAAATATAGTTATAAACACCACATGCACAAAGACATGCCCTGCAATAGTTAAACTTTGTAGGTACATATATATGTACGTATCACAAACGCAATGATTGAAACGATAATTATAATTTTGTACATACGTGATCACCAATAAAACAATTTAAAGATAACAATCATGCATTTTAGACTTTAAACTTCGTCCTGAATACCCATTTGCCATTAAGAAGATATTATTACTTGCGTCTTATTAGAAAGCAGTGCAATAAAGCTGGCAGTGATACAACAGAGCATGTCATTATCTTCCGTTAAAGCGTGGCAAGTGAAAATTTTACCTTTTCTAGTTCTTTTTCAATTTCACCCGCCCTGATCACTAGCGGTCCTCGAACCGCGTATTCCATTACTTTGATTTGCGGATTTAGATTATCCAGCGTTAAACAAGGGCTTACCGCTGACGACATTTTTCGATTTGCCCTTAAACCAAGAACTTTATCATGTGAACGCAATCTAACAGCTGCTTCTGGTTCGATCCGTCGGACTGACGCGAGACGGCTGCTTGAGCGGCGCACAGGCAAACCACGACTTATAATTTGTGATAATAATCTGGTCGTCGTCATTTTGAGTAGAATTTTCTTATCAACGATTCAACAACTGCACAACAATGGGTTTAATTACCACGCTATTGAAGTATTATGTAATGTATTAAAATGACAATTTTTATAGTTCGTTAGTCGAAACGGCACTGCGCAACAACGTGTAGTACACGACAACACTCGAAACACAAACTGGCCAAAATAAATCAAAGAAAAGGGTCTACACTCTCTAAATGTTTTTTATTGTAATCTTCAAGGTTTCTTATGAGTGTCAAAGTTTATCAAAACACCTTAGTTTTTCTACATTTCCTAAATTAACAAAACAAACATATAACTGATAACAATAACGCAAGTTAATACACCTAGTGACACCTATTGGGTAGATGCTTACTCTTATTATAGATACAAAAAAATCTAATTCTAATTTAAAATCCAATACTCAACCCTAAAAAGTTAAATAGTCGGGAAGCAAATGAACAATAAACAGGTGGACGCAGACAAAAGGTGGACAAAAGTATCTATCGAAAACACTGATGAGCACATCCCCGACATTGCAGCATATAAATATGAGTTTCATCATAAGCAGTTATCAGGTTATCACCTTCACAGTCCACGAGAGTGCGTACAATTATTGCCACAACTACAAAAATTTGAAGATTTTGAATATGGTTTCTTAACCATATAGATTTTTAGATGCTTTTAACTATTAAACTGACAATTTGTTCCTTTCCTCGTACTGCATATACAAACTACCTACAGCATTTTGTTTTACTTACTCATTGAGGTTGTGTTTCTAGTACATTGTTCTAATAACTTTGATAACCTATAACTTTTTTTTTTCATTTTTCATAAACACGTAAGGAAGATAAACATTTTAATATTTAGCTGGTGTACGTTACAATATTTCTTTGAAAAATATGGCACCATTTTTAGGTGAATGTTCAGTGATGCGAGAGGTAAGTGATTAAAGATAATTCCAAAAAAGATTATTTCATATATTTTTAGATTTCAAAAACCGAACAGGCCATTAAAGACTGCTACTCAAGAGTTCTATCACTGGAAAAAAAAATCGAGTCAGATAAGATCTCTGATGCGAAAAAGGATATGATGAGAAGAGAACTTTTGGAAGTTCGGAAACTCTTAGTAACTAACGAAACTCAGTTGTCACAATTACACAAACATAACAGAAAATCTTTCGCTTTTGTAGCAGCATTTTGTTTTATATGTTGTACTGTGTATGCTTTGTATATCTTAGTTAATGGGCCAGACTTTTAATATGTTAAGACAAAACAGAGTTGCGTTACATTACAACTGGTATAATTATATGTATGTAATATTAAAAATGTGAAGGTTTATAAACTTATATTTATTTGTCAATTTTCAGATACATATGAAATACTTAAGAATTATTTCTGAATTTTCCAATCATTTTTTGTGGCACTTAATAATTTTTAAAAATATTTTGTGTTGATGGAAATAATCAATTATAAAGTGACTGTAGCGAAATAAATAAGTTGGGGACTCTTATCTGCGACCTCTTCCTCTACCTCTACCTCTAGGACCGCCTCTTCCACGGCCACGTCCCCGGCCTCTGGATGCACCACGAGCACTCTCCTTCTTCTTTGCTTTGGCTTTGGGAGTATCATCAATCAACAACGTTTCTAATGGTAAACTATCAGGTAAAATATAATACCGAATGTTATTGCCCCTAACAGTTAATGTATCCAAGTTAACAGGATTTCGATTTTTTACAGTGACTTTTACAGCTTTTAGGTGTGTATTCATTGCTACATCTACACCCGTGATGGTCCCATGTACTTGTGTACCATTTTTTAGTTCCATGGTTACAGTCTCATGACTTAACTTCATCAAAAACCTGAAAACAAAAAAAGTTGGGTTAGGTAAATAAACATGTTATCGCAGGCTTGAACATCCATTTTCTCAAAACAGTTTAATTTGATTTTACATATTTCCTCCTGAATACGTACCTTACCAATTTCATTCTGGCGTTATAGTCTCTATTTTAATAGCATATATTATTATTATTTTCACCGGTAGCAACTGTTTACTCTATTACCCACAGAACCTATTACCTCTTTTCCGCAAGCGGCAAAACAGCAAACTTCGCTACACAACCGCACAATAACAGCACTGACAGATAAAAACGTTCTAATTCCCTAGGTAATGTCGATAAAATTCCCTAGATTGCCAAAAATGATTTATATTGCCTTGCTAAGCTAAAGAGCAATAACTCCAATTTTTTCGAAATGAGATAATCATATTTTTGAATTTTTTTGAAGATGTTTTATATATACACTATGTGAAATTTTACAAAACGCACTTCTTGATTTCGCACAAACTATTTGCGCAAAACTATTGTACGTCACCCCCTGATCACGTTCCTCACCTTCAAAGGTTGTGCAAATGCCTCTTTATCAGAAAAAAATATTTAATGTTCGCCCTATGCCTATGATTCGCACTTTATTAGTTGCGCCAAACGCAGGCAACCAACTATACATACAATTTAACTCGCACGAATTCCAATAATTATCATCAATTGACCAGTAAAGTGAATGACGCGCGAAATTTGAACTCAGTTCATAACACGAGACCCGTATTTCAGTTCCCCGTGTAATCCTTATGGGTGAAATCGAGGCGTCACTTTAACGCTTAAATTGTACCATTAAAGTAATTTTCTTATATATCCCACTACCTGTACCATTAAGACTGATATTTTTACTGTTGATCTTGATACCAAACATGAACGGAACCGGTAGTATTTAATAAATATTTAAATTCAACTTTTACCACTACATTTGCCTCGAACGTATGTCGTACAGTGGTTCATACTGCCATTGACTTCCCCCTCCACATAAATGGCTTTGATTTTCAGATGCTACAGATACGGCTGTGAATTTAAAATAATACATAAAGGAGATCTCATATTTGCAAATGTTTTCAATCAATTGCCAAATTTTGATTTAAGAATCATCATCAATCCCAAGCTTTTTTCTTTTCACACATTTTTGCTAGAAAAGGAAAAACTTAGCATTCCTGATTAAACCTTTCATGTACAAGTAAAAATCACTCTCATTTTAGTACGAATTGGGTCTGAAACACCCATTAAAAAAAAAAATCACAATTTAAAGAACAATTTATTTCAAAACAAAAAAAAAGTATTTTACAATAAAAAATTGCACTTCCTAATGCAAAATCTGATTCACTTTTGGTGAAAAACTGACCCACAAACTGTTTTCTTGATGGGCCATTAAAATAGTCCTCGGACACTAATAGTTCTTCGACACTGTGAAGTAGATTTTCTTCAGATCTTTCTAGTTCAGGGCCCAATAGCAAAAGCAGTGCTTCGCTCCTATCAGTTTGTCCTAAGCTTTCATGAAGTTGTACCTCAACATTAGCTGTTTTTAGGCTGACTTGGGGATTAAAAGAATTTTCAGAGACAACAGCTCGGACCTCAGCTGATTCACTTTTCTTCAGATATACGTCTCAAGCACGCAAATTATTGGTCCACAATACATTATAACGTCCGTGTAGGGCAGGTGTAGCCATATGATGATATACAAATGCACCTCTTGGGGTTTCACATGTTGCCTCTCTTAAGGAATATCTATGCATAATAAAACAAAATACGTCATAATTTTACTTGACACAGAATTTATCAATATACATTAACTTACCATAATCTTCTCGCATTCTAGCTCGAATAAACTCTTCAAGCACATTTAATTCAGTATACCAATTGACTTTCGCTACATTATTTGACTGTAAAGAATTTTCTCCAACAAAAAAAAATGGCAATTGCCCCTATTGTTAACACGTCTTTCTGTCATTATTAATAACAAATACAAAAAAACCAGTCCACAGATACATACAACCCAATGTGAATCAATATCACAGAACTAATATATCATCCAAAAATTGTGATTATGATTGTTTGTTGTGATGAAAATACGAAATCAACTGTCATATTTTGGGGATTTTCACGATCTAAACGTCACTAGTACCGCAAAATATTCGCGTTCTTTTTCTTTCCCAAGTGTTTCTGAATTTTCCGTTTCACTCATGCGCAAGACGTTAGAAACGATGTACGTTACTTCGATGGATAGCGTTGTTTTTAATTTGCAATATATCTTTAACAGAAGCTTTTTATATAGTTAAACCTTTAGTAACAGGAAGATAATTGTACAATCTTTATCGCTTGTAGCATGAACTAGTTAAGATTTCTACCTATGCGGCGTATTTTGTCTGTAAAATCAAGCTCCCATAAGAAACCCATAGTAGAATTTTTGAATTATGAACTGCCGCGCATTCTAAATTCTAACCTTACTTTACTGGTCAATTAGCACCTTATTTTATAAATTTAAGTAATGTTTGCTAATGTAAATTTTGGCAATGACGTCATCCTATTATTGGTGGGGATGATTTTGATTAGAAAAATGTTGGTTAGCGTTTTACCATCTACATGATATTCCTAATATAAAACAAAATTTGACAACAATCGGGACGCTAGACAGATGGACAGACAGACAGGCGGAAACGGGAGACATATTTCTTTATTCGCTTACGCTCGGGAAGTAAAAATCTGATTGATGGCCACTATTTGGTGAAAGCCTTTTCATGGAAAAATTTCCTGTCGTTCCATTTATAAATTCGACAATACATATTTTTAAAACAACTAAGTTCACTTTTTCTTTTTCATCTTGAAATTTTTGTGTATTTGCAGTTCACCAAAATTTGCACTTGAATAAATTGCCGATATGGACTATCAAAGAAATATGACATCCTCAGTCAATTATTTCAAAGGGACGTCAAACTCTTGGCTTCATAAATACATAGAAATCTGAAAGATACAGGCGCGGATACAGGATTTCGTTCAGGGGGGGGGGGCAATTTTTGTGTGATTTTTTTACCTATCTATCAGAAATTCGTTCTAAACAAAAAAAATTATAAAATTTTAGCTAGTATACTCTTTTGCACATAACATGGGTGACATTTGGTTCTTTTCATTACACGTATAGTGTACAGTAGAACCTCGATAATCCTAATTCCTAATTGGGAAAAAGGTGTGTTCGGATTAACGATTTGTTCGGATCAGCAATTTTCCCAAAAATCTGAAAGGGAATTGAATAACAACTTCATACACAACTGAAAACAAACTTCAAGAAATAAACCTAAATTTTATTAAACAAAAATTAAAGAATTCTTAAGCAACAATGGATAATAGATACATTCTAAAAAAATATTACTCCGTGACCATAAACACGCTATCTTTTTGGAATAAACACCCCGGGATCTATACCCTAAAATTTTTCAAAATTTTTAGATGAATTTTTCAAAAATGAAATTTTCTATTATGTATTCGTATTTCCTCCATTATGCAAATTTCGACCCATTCTCGACGATTTTCGAAATTTAACTAAATATATTTTTTGTAGATTTTGGACCTCAGAAGTCACTTTTGGCTTCATTTCTTCGATAACTTAAACCATTTTTCCAGAATCGTCCAGTTGAAATAGCGCAATTTTTAAAAATTTCGAAAAATTCGAATTTCACAGCGAATTTTCCGAAAATATTGCTCCTTTACCATAAACATGGTATATTTTTGGAATCAGCACGTCGGGATATATATCCCTGACTTTTTTCAGAATTTTTAGGAAAATTTTTCAAAAATGAAATTTTTCTCATGCAAATTTCCACCCATTTTCGACGATTTTCGAAATTTAACCAAATATTTTCTCTTGTAGATTTCGGGTCTCCGATAACTTCATCCGTTTCTCCAGAATTAGTTAATTAATTCAGTGCTTTGAAATATCGCTATTTTTAAAAATTTCAAAATATTCCATACAACATATGCAGAAAGATCTTGCGTCATTTTTGGAAGTAGATGCATGTTTCCAAGTTCAGTTCGGATTGCAGAGTTTTTGTTCGGATTAAAGAGGCATCGACTTCAAATAGCCTCTGTTCGGATTACTGGATGTTGAGACAATCGTGAGTTGGGATTATAGAGGTTGTACTGTATTTACAAAATGAAATATGATTTCAAAATTTTGAAATTGGTCAAAATAAAGTACCTCGGTCGTGTGTGAGGGGGGGGCAATTGCACCCATTGCCCCCCCACTGGATCCGCGCCTGGAAAGATATCCCAATAAACATTTTTAAATTGGCGTTCGTAGCGATGGTTCGTCCGGTCTTGGAATACTGTTGAATATATCGAATCATTTGAAGCGGTGCAGAATAAATTTTTGCGGATTTCTAGTTATGTATAAACTTAAATTCGTACCAAATGACCGACACTGGGATTACGTAGAACTAGGAAGAAAAATGTCGATACTATCCTAGAACTGAGGAGAACCAAGAACAATTTAAACTTTCTATGTACATGGTGCGTGTTTAGGTGCTGTTTGTAGGTAAGTGTTCTTCCCTGTTGGAGAAATTCAGTTTACAGTGTTCATCACGAAGTATACGTAGTCATACAATAATATATTAGATTTTCATCAAACAAATTTTGACTTTTTCTCAACAGTGGCCCGATTCTCAAGACTGGCAAACATGTTTGGCGGGGAGATTGAACTTTTTGGAATGTTAAGGAATAAGTAGATTAAAAAAAAAAACCTTAGCAAACTGGATATACTTATTGTAATTGTTATTTTGAATGTTTTATTTGTATGTACTATAAAGTTGAGTTTTAATTTTCTATGAAGGCGGCATCCCGTAAATAAATAAATAAATGAATAAATAAATAAACAAGTTACACAGTTCTTGATACAAATTTCTAATTTTGTTTTGAAAAGAATGAGTATCTTGTACAGCTTGTTATATAAATAAGCTTTTCCCTTTTCGAGAGAGGCATCACTTTTTTGACAGCCTTTTCATAAAATGAAAAAAAAATCCTTCATTTGTCATTCGGTCCACGTTTGGGTTCACCATTTTGCCTTAGAACACATTACGCTATTTCAAACACAACGTAAGCCCTCAATTTTGCTGATGATCCAGCTCATAACTTATGTTCAAATTTTAAATGTTACGTAAACAGTAAAATAGGAATATCATTGTCATTATAATTTATTAGCGCCTCTGATGGGGATACTTGTGTCGCCCTTCCACCCGCAAAAGTGAGTACTGAGTCACCTCCCTTTTGAACACACTAACACAGAGCACAAATATTAGTATTCATTATTCAGTAAAGATTCACTTCATTCATTCAATTTGTCCACTTATCATTCTATCAATAAACGTCCTTATTCACATCTACAAACTCAACAATAATCATTTTATTAGTTAACTGAAATTACATTATCATCGTACACATAAATATAAGGATGCCTTTCCACTAACACTATGTCTTTTTCGAGTTGTTTAAGTTCAGCTTCAAGTTTAGATTTTCGATTAATCTTAGGTATAGTATCTGTGAGGATAGGTAGCCCTTGATATTGTTGTTGAAGTTCCCCCCAGTTGTGTTTCAAGCCCTGCAGTTTAAACAAACATATAAAAAATACCTACTGATTTATTTCCTATATACCTGCAATAACTGTTCTCGTTCGTCTCTCCTTATGTATCGACACTTTGGCTTTTCAACACCGGTAGCATCTTTTTGCATTTGATGTAGTTTTTCTCTTTGTTTAATGAATACTTGTAGGTAACTAGGTGTTTTACCAAAAGCATCTGATTTTATATAAATTGGTTCTAAACCATCACACAAACGCTTTGTTTTTCCATAAGGTTCTACAACAACTTTTGGTGTAGGCTCCTTTGGCTTCATTTTTAAAACTGTTTTGATATTTTCGGAGATAAAATTCTTCACTGAATTGGCGGCTTTATTTTTTCTGTTATCATAATTTATAATGTCCTCTTTAGTAGCAAACATTCTTGGTTTTCTCTTACACACATGCTTTTCATCGGTTGCTTTAATTTGTTCTTCCTGACTGTAAGACAGTTTCCCTGTTTGTTTTTTTAAAAATTCACATGGATCTGTTGTATTTTCTTGAGGCAGACCCATTGTTGCATATGGCTTAATGGTAATTTTTTTCACAGGACTAGCTTTCATTTTCCCACGTAGCTGGGTTTTGTAACATACAGTTGCACCCTCAAACTGAGTTGATGACTTTTCGATGATTTTATTAATGTTTTCATCATGATGGATAATTGCAATAACTGACATTTTATCAATATTTTTTTACTGTTTCACAATAATACTTTCGCTTGAAATTTGTAAACGAATTAATGTAGCAACCGTTGCATAGTTACGGATCTACATCATAAATAGCAGACAAAAAAACGAATAACCAACTCCGGCGACAGCAAAGGATCACAATGGACAGGTTAAGAAACTTAAAAACCCTTGACACAAAAAAAAAACCTTAAAAAGCCGTGAGTTTTACTGCGACGGTCGAGCTGGTTTCTACACCAACTGTGTTACGAGCTGAGGATCTTGAAATGGCTGAAATGGTTATTATCAAACACAGCTACTACGAACCATCCTGTTGAATCCAGCTTTCAACGGCTACGGTGCCACGGACAACACACACAGAGACAAATGGTTCACTTACTTCACTTAGCTAAAAACCATCCCGGTTAAACCAGCTTTCAAACAAAAATAAAACGCAGTGAAATCGCATCATCCGTTGGGGAGCTGCAGTGTTATAGACAGACACACTGATTAGAGACAAAGTTAATAAGATTTATAACACTATTTTTTTGAGTAGGAGGTTAATAGAAAGCGTTCAGGGTCGCATCGGTATTTTGAAAGATCAAAATTCTTGTAAACATTAATATCACAACTTTCAATATCATTTCACATAGGTAACAAAAATAAATGTCCACCGATAAACGCTTAAACCATAATAATTTTACTCGATGAATTCATCTCATCGTTTTTCACATTCTTTATCCCCTAGTCATTTATTACAAAAACAAAAATGGATTAAAGTTATTTAAACAGAACTTCCCTCCTGAAGTACAGGGTGAGTTGGCTAAAACGGGACACCTCGAATAACTTTTTTATTTATGATCCTATTTTAATGAAATTTAGTCTGTAAATAAAGACGAATGAGTTCTATGATGCATCACTTCATTAAAATGAAGTAATTGACAGAAAGTACATAATTAAAAAAAAAGTCACAAAAAGAATTTAATTTATCTAAATTTTTATTTTATTGTAAAATTGAGAAAAAATACTCTGCAAACTTCAATAATTATTACTTTTCATACGTTTTATTTGCTATTGTAAAATAATATTTTCTTAAAGCATTTTCTGCGTTTTGTTTTCTGAATAACTTTTTAAGTTGGTGATGCACCATCTAATTTTTGAGACTTATGAAATTATTTCAATTATTATGAACAATTCAATCCAATATTTTACCAAATTCTAACTCAAGCTGCATTAGCGAACAACGGTAATCAGAAAATTAATATTTTTTTAAGAAGCTAAGTAATAAAGTTATTTTTTACATTTTTTTGAAATGAGAAAAATTGCAAACTCTAAAAAATTAAAAAAAGTAAATGGTATTTGCATTATAATTTTTGCTGTCGCAGGATGTAATTCTCCATTTGCATATTTAATATTAATTACTTTTGGCTAATAAATAAAAAAGTAATTCGAGGTGTCCCATTTTAGCTGATTCACCCCGTACAGTCGAAATAAATTGACCCAGCTATTAATGTTTTTGAAAAGCCCCGTATGTTACTTTATAGAATTTAAAACCCATTTACTATGTACAATTTTAAAGTGACGTCGTCACATTATTCGTGGGGATGATTAGACAAATTTTGGGGAGCGTTTTACGATCTACATGATATTCCTAACATAAATACAAAATTTGACAACAATCGTAGAAGTGGAGTGTCGGCCAACGGACTCGATTACAATACTTTCTTCGCTTACGATCGGGAAGTAAAAATTGACGACGTCATCTCAAAATTTTGCCGAATAAATCCTATCTAAAATGTACAAAATATGATCAGTCTATCCTCTATACTTATAATTTATCACTGCTTTTTTACTTACCGAGTGTAATCAAAATTATAAAACAGCATTTTCCAATTTAATTTTGAATCTACTAAACCGAATGCTTTGAAATCTTGCAGACATTTTAAGGTTATAAAGAGCATAATAAATGTTTAGTGAAAATATATTTGCTTGGCCCCTCCAAAAAATTGATGACGTTAGCTCAAAAGTTTGCCGAATAAATCCTATCTCAAATGTACAAAATATGATATAATTTATCATTCCATTCATATTTTTTAGATTTGCATACACAGGATGACTCAAAAAAATTAATTAATGCGTAAATTTATTTTATTGATTTAATCAGGAACTACAAAACCGAATGGTTTGAAGTCTTGGAGATGTTTTAAAGTTATCATATGCATGGTAAATTCTTCCTCCTTACGGTCATTAAACTCGGCAAAACGCCACTTCCAATATCATCCTTACGATAGCCCTTGAAGACTTGTGCGAGATATCTACTTTTTCGTAATACGAAAATCTTCATAAAAATAGTTTTTATATTGCATTAAAGGTTTTCGTTTTTTTAATAAAAAATAAAAACAGAAAAACTTATTTTCCTCTTTGAGCCAAAGCTATAAGGTATTTTGGCTTAAAAAAATCTGGCATTGTAGATAATATTATTGCTCACCTGTTAAACTATCCATTTTTTAGTTATTGTTGATTAAAGCAACACCTAAAAAGGGCATTTTTTGTAAATGCAGGCAACCAAACATCTTTCGTCAAGAACCAGTCAAGAAAGTGTATGATTTACGATAGAGTTGGCCACTATTGAGAGAATAGACGGATTTAAAACCCTTGCTGAAAAAGTCTGCAAATGAGGTGACCGTAGTATGTTCTACCTGAAGGTTGTGGAATCGTACAATTGCCTAGGAGTATTACCTATATTAAAAAAGGTTTCGTTACATAGGGTTTCAAACATTGGGAACAAACATCCACGTCTATGGAAGCGGCTATAATTTCAGATGGTTTTAAAAATTCAGAAAAAGTGCACAATTTAAGACTTAAAATCATCGGTGATGGAGACAGCAGCGTTTTAAAAAAATTCGTGCTGCAAGGCCCTACGAACCCAATTATTTTATCGAAAAATTTGAATGCCGCCATCATGTTGTCCGAAATTATTGTACAAACAGCAGACTCCAAAAACAGACACTTATAACTATAAAGAATTTATGAAAAATAAAACGGATACAAAATGCAGATTCCGATTACGGAAAATGTGAAGTTTCAATTGATGTAGCATCAATACCAGATATGTTTCCAAAAGTGTATGAAGACAAAAAAAAAATTATCACAGTGTAATGTTGTGTCTATTGAAAAAAACAACTCGTGGCCAGCGACTTAGTAATGACTGGAAAAGAAAAATATCAATTTGTTTGACAGTTAGCAAGATTGGAAAAATTTGCCGTATTTTATAGCTTCTTTAACTTTTTTACTCCGGGCACAAAAAAATCAAATTTAATTTCGATAACTGAATCATGAATAATTACTCCATCTGGAGATGTTCCCAAAAATTGTATTCCTCATCTATGAATAAGCCGCATGGTAAATACGGTCACCTCATTTGCATACTTTCTCAACAAGGGTTTTAAATCCATTTAATGGCTTAATAGTGGCCAACCCTATCGTAAATCATACATTTTCTTGAGTCGTTCTTGACGAAAGACGATATTTGGTTGCCTACATTTACAAAAAATGCCCTTTTAGGTCTAACTTTAATCAACAATAACTAAAAAATGGATAATTTAACAAAAAAATAATTTCAGTTCCCAGATGAGCAATAATATTATCTATACTGTCAGATTTTTTAAAGCCAAAACACGTTATAGTTTTGGCTCAAAAAGAAAATAACGTTCTTATTTTTTATTAAAAAAACGAAAGCCTCTAATGCAATATAAAAACGATTTCCATAAAGATTTTCGTACTGCGAATAAGTAGATGTGTCCACAGTAGATATGTTACACAAGTCTTCAAGTGCTATAGTAAGGATGATATTGGAAGTGGCGTTATGCCGTATTTCGGCAGATTTTAATGACCGTAAGGAGGAGCCTGAAGTAATAATTTCACGCCAAAGGCAATAACACGAAACACTGGATTAGTATAGTACGTATCTTCTAATAAGTGGATCAGTTTTGATAAAAGGACGGATGCATGGTAATTTTGACTAATGTGATTAAGCTCAGCAAATTATATAGTTATTTACAATTAACCAAATACGTCACTAATTTAGTGAACGCGTTTTGTACTAAAATAACCAGTGGTTTGATTGGTCTATATATTACTTTAATTAGAATGCACATTAAGTTTGTATTTTAGTTTTAACATATACCCATAACGCAACATAAAACCACATATGATAAAATGATATAGATACTACACTTTATTGTTAATTATTTAATAAGTACAAAATAATATATAAATTGTACAATTACTCAGTTATCAGCAACTAAAATTATTTTACATCAACATTGAAATACATTTTTAAAAACTATAATATATAAATTATGAAAGAAATACTAATTTTCTTCTTAACTGTATTTTCTTATATAGCTATAGTTCTTCCTCCTAGAAAAATCTATTACAAAAACCGTGTATTATAAATTTACTTATTCATAATGTATGTCACACCTTTTTCAATATATTTCTCCTTGTTTATTTACATGTAAATAAACTGAAATCTAAAATAACAAACAATTAGTAAATAAAAACAGCGTCATGAGAACTTCTTACCTGCACAACGCCTGCGGTAATGAAGATATTATGGGTCCATAGCCCTGAGAATTGTCATATAACTCAAAAAGTGGTGCAGCTACCAATTTGTAGTTTTTGGGAACTGCAAATAATGCTGCAAAAAAAAGACAGGATAATATTAAAACCTGGAACAATTTTTAACGATATACTCCAAAAAAACATTTAGAAATGCAGAATGTTAAATACAACTTAAAACTAATGTAAAACATTTTCTAGTTGTTAGAATATCAAAACCTATTACGTGAGTGAGTAGTCAGCAGTAAAAAAGTAGCATCAATCTACATATATCTCGATTACAATTTTTCTATAAAAAATGCGATATTTATAATTTTTATAGATTTTAATATTTGCACAACATGTTTAACTCATAGTCGAGTATTTATACAAAAAGTTGGTGCGCAAATATCCGTACACTCACTTGAGACTATTTTTCAATAATTATGATCTTTAGTCCTGGTAACGGTAATTTCAAATTAACAAAAGTGAAGCCAAATCTATTGTACAGACATGGAAAAACCTGAATTTTCACATTTATATTGATGTTAATTCTTGTATGTTGTCCTGTATGTTAATTTTTTTCACATGTTTGTACAACTGTGTCACATTAACGATGCATAAAACAAACAAGTAAACTTCATACAATTATCAAATAATCATTTCACCAATAATAGTATAAAACCTAATACAGTATACTATAGTGAAATATGTTAAATATACCAACTTTAACAAAATATACCAACAAAAGGATATTTTTATTGGCAATAATGTGAACATGCATTACTACAGTTACTATGAGAATATAAAAAACGGACTTGGTTTGTTTCCTTTATACAATGATAAATTTAACTTTTTTATCAATTTTTTTTAGTGTAATCATTGCGAAGTATTCCACTTAATTTAAATTTATTCAATGAATTTCAATTTATTCCTTTCCATCACAATGGGCAGTGAATTTTGATATTTTAATATTTTTAAATTAATTTCCACATCGTACAATTGGGTTAGGTCATATTATGATGTAATAACGACTGACACATTACATTATACTATTTTTAAATACGGTAGGATCATCAAATGTAAAGCACATTCCAGTTTGATGCGAATTGCAATTTATTGAGCATGTATTCTAAAAACACCCATTAGAGTAGATTTTAAAACATTTAATGTAATAATTAAATTCTGGCTTGGAAAAATACACATTTTGTATACAGATTGAAAATAATCGTTGTCTAACTGTTTCTAACTTCCGAAAATATTACAAAACATAACAAACTATAAAAAAAACCTGATCTCAAACTTCGTTTAAGAATGCATTCATTACTTTCTGGATACAATTTAGTCCAACGATATGAGTAAAGAAATACCTACTCCAAATACACACTGGTAATGCCATACTGTAAATATATTAAAATGGAGCAAATGGTATTTCTTTCTTCGCTAAAAACATCGAAAGTGTATTTTGACGTTTCACAAAATTAAAAAATGAAGTGAGCAACATTATTTTTTCATGGTTCGAATACAATATATTTCAAAATAAGTTATACTTATCAATCTCACGTTTATCAAAGATACGAAAAATAACACTGCTCTCTAAACAATATCACTAGACAAAAGGTACAATCTTCTTGCTATGGTTATACAATACCCTTTTCTTGAAGTTGTACAAGGAACAGACGTTTGTGTTCTTTTGGCTTTGTTATATGTGGAGGAATGTACGGGTACTGAGGTGGTTCAAAGTTGGGTCTCCACCAATTGCCGATGATATCTTCCACTAACCAATCTTGCTTAACACCATCCAATCGGCCAAGTGTCTGGAACAACTCACCATAGAAAGTACCGCCCTTCCAGAGCTTGATTGAGAGGCATTCTTAAATATAATCCAAATCTAAATACAAGTACAATTTTTTTAAAAATTATTACAACATTATTGGCTGACCTATTCATACCCTAGGATAAATTTAGAATATACATATATGTACACACATACATATATATACACGGTTTGTACAAAATATATGAAGTACTTTCCATACATCTCCTATACGACAAGATACGTACAAATTTCTTGCTTGTGGAATAGCAAATTTCATTACAATAATCTTAGAAAATTTGGTATCATAACTCTGAAAATACTCCGAGTTTTTATTTTTCAACAATACTACCATTTCTGTGTAATTTTTTTATTCACGCAACATCATCATTTGCAGTTTTTATAGAGACCGTCGTCATTGACTTAATTCAAAATCTTATTAGGTAAATATACAGTGATGTTAAGTTTAACTAAAATGTGAAAGGTTTGTATTCCCTTTATACAGTGCATCTTTTTTAAAAGTGGCCATAGGGATTCCCATGTTAAATATTAGACCCCATGTTAACTTTTGTTAGGGTGAAAACCCAGAGATGATTTTTGCAGTGAAAATAGATTCAGGATGATCTTTTGAGTAACAAATATCACAGAAAGTTAGATAGACGTCTGAAGTTGTGCCGTTTTCTTACTCTCTTGAAACTCGTTTCTATAAGACGTATTGGAATGATTATGATTTTATTTTACTTTACTTTTTTAATAATAAATATAATATGTATACAAATCACCAATGAATGGTGGACTATTGAAACTTTTGATTTGCTGATTTTTGTGACGACTTTCAACTGGCTATTGTGCCTGTGACAACACTAGTAATCTTTGATCTCAAGTAATAGCATTAACATATAATTAATCCATTTTTAAATAGAGCTTTTTTTCTGAATTCAGTGATGTAGTACAATCATCCTTTCTTTCTGATTGAAATGGCAAAATAAATTATTTTAAATAAGAATAAATAAAAAAAAAAAAGAAAGATGACATAGTTACCTTTGAAAATAATTTTAATTTGACATGTAAGGTATTTTTTGCAAAAATGGTGCATCCAAGTGAAACTGAGTGCATAGAATTATTAACGATGATCTGGTACGGTGACAAAAGACGAAGTTTTGCTCAAGTAGTAACACTTTTCAATGAAATTCATCCTGAGCGAGAACCCATTTCTAAGTCGACGGTTTAAAAAACCCTACGAACATTTAATGAAGGTGAAGTGTTAAAGAACGTCCAACAAAAACTGCTACAAATGATGAAAACACCCTTAATGTCCTCTTAGCGCTGAATCAAAATGTTAGTAGAAAATCAATTCAAACAATAATGAAAAATAAAGTTTCACCCATACAAAATCCATTAGGTACAAGAGCTAAACGAAGATAGACTTGAATTTACCGACATTATTATAACAGAATACAAAAAGGAAATTTTATCAACACTCATGTGAACAGACACAACTGCAGGTATTGGTATGACACAAATCCATACTGGATGGAGCAAATCCACACAGAGTCCAGAAAAACTGAGTGTTTGGTACGGTATTATTAGTTACCATGTAATTGGTCTTTTTTTTTTTTATTAATGGGAATTTAAATTCTGAGGGATACTTAAGGCTTTTGCGGGAACGTATAGTGTCTATACTTAGAGAATTATTTCCCAATTACATACTAAAATCCGGCCTTACCAGCAGAAACTATTTGGTTTCAACAAGATATGGTGCTCCACCCTACTTTGGACGTCAAGTGAGACAGCACTCCAATGAAACTGTTCTTAGCAGATGAATAGGCGGAAGGCGTATTATTGAGTGGTCTGCCAGGTCACCGGATTTGACACCGCTTGACTTTTTTGTGTGGGGCTATTTGAAGAATCACGTTTATATCAATATAATGATTCACATTGAAGACTTACGTAACGTAACGAAATTGCTAGCATTCGTCCAGAAATTCTCATTAACTGACCACAAAATTTTATTCAGCGTCTTTTTTACTGCCAGGAAGTAAATGGAGAGCATTTTTAGCATCTTTTGTAGAAAACAGAAATTGGTTACTTTATTTATTGCTTAATATTAATAAAAATTCATAATCATTAATTAATTTACTTATTGTTTAACAAGTTATTTTGCCATTTCAATAAGAAAGTATGATTGTGCTATATCAATGAATTCAGAAAAAAAAGGCTCTATTCAAAAATGCATTAATTATATGGCAGTGCCACAAAAAAAAAAGTTAGCCTTGCGTCTCAAAAAGAAATGAAGCAAAAAAATTTTTTTTACGAATAATTAGAGCACAACTTCTTGTACCCCTATACCCAATTTCAGTTGATTTGTACAACTGGTTCTCAAGATATTTAACCCTTTCCATACATTCTAACAACCTGTATATTACCCTATAATACAAGTAACTTCGAAATTACCACAAAGCGATAAGCATTACCACGCAATGAACCGTGTCAATATTGTTTAATAGACTATCTTTCTCCTTGCTCTATGGGGCCCTTTGCTCTTAAAACAAATAAAACCTATTGTAAGCTCAATACAATACCATAATCGCAAATGTTGTCAATAGCCACACTAATTCGAACTAAAACAAAAATATATTTTAAGACAATAGATTTCTGTGGAAGTCAATTATTATTTCTTATTACTTCCCGAAAGTAAACTAAGAAGGTATAGTAATCGAGTCCATCGGCCGAATTGTCACTTTCACACTATTTCAGAAACATTTATATAATGACTGGCTCGCATTTTTTTTATAAATTAAATAAGAATCCGTGCAAAAACTAAATATTATCCATACCACGTGCGTTAACATTTTTGCCTGATTCGTGCGACATTCTTCCTCGTTCGACAAGCGCACTCGTGCACAAACCGTCGCACTCATCTGCAAAGCAACTGTTCCCACACTTATGTAAATAAACATTTATTATTAAAAGCACAATTACTAGGCAGTAAAATAAAATTACATGTAATAATTTCAATACATAATAGAAGGGAGTGGACATCGCACAACTTCAGATTTCTAATCGGTGCCCATTGGAAGTGAAGTATCCAAAAAATAAATGAAAACGGTTCTTCGTATTTGTTAAATAAAAGAGCATCCTCAATATTTTTCATCAAAATTAAAAATCATGTGGCGCACCTCACTCACATACAAAAATTGAATCAAGTGTGTTATGTGGCCTCTAGCTTTCGACTTTCAAGTACGCAGTGTTTTCCCTAAAAACTAAAAGTACTTGAGGTCTTATATTATTTTTCTTAAGTGGCGCCTTGTAACGTTAGATATCGGGTGTTTACTGTTTAGTCGATTCGTTATCATTATTTTTTTATATTAAGAAGAATGTCTACAATAAATCTTAAATTTAATTCGCGACAGCTGACAACGCAGAATCACAGAATAGGTAACAATTTGGAAAGAGAATTGGCACTTTACAGTAACTATGTCAAATGTCATTTATCCACATAATAACATGAATTTATAAAATAATTAAATTAATAAAAAATCGTTTTGGTTTCTTCAATAAAAAAATTGGTCGAAAGTTATTCCTTCCTTCGCACCTGTTAAACAAATTCAATGTGTTAAAAAATTTGCGACAAGCAACGAACTCGATCAAGCAGAACTCAAACACGACACTAGATAAGCCCACATGACCACCGGGGGCGCAGTTATGCGCGTAAATATCGGCTAGGTGACATGTAGAAAATTTTGCACAAATATTGTTGTACAGTAATTGTGATAAACATAAAGGTGGATTCATAAATCACAAGTACAGGAGTATGTTATTTTATAAAAATTTAAATAGTTGTTACTATGAGAAATGTTGAAAGGATGTCATCACATTAGTGGTGGGAGTGATTTCAAAAATTTTGGTTACCGTCTTAACATCCACACGATACTCCTAAAATAAACATCAAATTTGACAATAATTGGTCCAGTAGTCTTGGAGAGTAAATGTCTAATAAAAATCGACATAAGAGTCAAATGCTCGGTAAGTAAAAACCAATACCAGCTTTATGACTTTCGCAACTAACACCCGTTATATAATGTCGCAGACAAAACTTAACGACAAAGAATCGCCATTTGTCTGTCTGTCCGGCGTCCGACGTTATTGGAAACAATTTCCGAAACTACTGGACTGATTTTTGTCAAATTTTATATGTGTATTACGATTATCATGTAAATAGTAAAATAGTAAGCAAACTTTGTTTACAACAATGTGGTGTCACCTCAAAATTGTACATTGTAAATGACTGTTAAATTAATAATAATAACAAATAACATAGTCCTACACTTGTAGTTTATGAATCCGTGTTGAGTTTTTAACAGAAACTTATATAAAATTTTGCAATTTGATTTTGAATCTGCAAACCCGAATGCGTTGAAATTTTGCAGATGTTTTAAAGCTATCATAAGCGTGGTAAATTTTTAATCAAAATAAATTTGCTTATCCTCTCCAAAAAATTTATGGCATCACCTCAAAATCTTATCGAATAAGTCCTATCTGAAATTTGTAAAACATGATGAGTCCATACTTGTGATTTGTCAGTGCATTCATAGTTTTTAGATTTGCTTTAACAGGATAACTTAAAGAAATTAATGAATGACTCAATTTATTTTATTGATTAAATCAGGAACTGCAAAACCGAATGCTTTGAAATCTTGCAGACCTTACCGAGTTATTGTAGATATGGTAAATTTTAAATAAAAATGTATGGCTTTATCCCTCAAAAAAATTGATGAGGTCTCGTCTCAATATTTTGTCAAATAAATCCCATTTGAATTATTATATTATAATTATCACTCTATTTGTGATTTATCATTGCATTAATTTTTTTTTAGATTTGCATAAAAAAAAATAAAATTCGCAAAATCAGATTTTATAGTTTTTCTAAAATTCTGGATATGTTTCATTATATTTCAGGGGCGAAGGAAATTCTATCGAAATTTCGACCAATTTTTTATA